TCTTTCCATGAGTCTAGAGTCCTCAGCTGCTCCCTCTCTCCATATCATCATCTCTGGTGTCGCTGCTTCTCTGGATAATATCCCACATTCCACTCATGTTCTTCTCCCTTGACAGTCCTCTGTTCCTGGATTGTACAATTAACTGCTCCCTCCTTTTTGTTACAAAACTTCTACCTTTACAGTTGTGACAGTTGCAATTAGTGATGATAACAATTACTCACTGTTGAATCATAAGAATCTTATCCCCATCTCCTTTCACCAGACCTACTGAGACAAGATGAAACCTATTCAATGGAGACTCTACCTTCTCTGCACACTCTGAAAGTAAACTCCCTCTTGAAAACTTGTAAGCCAAGTCACTTTATGCCTTTATGTTATTGTTGTTGTTACGTGCCGTTGAGTCAGTTCTGACTCATAGCAACCCTGTATAGGGTTTCCGAAGAGATGCTGGTAAGCTTGAACTGCCAGCCTTGTGGTTCAAACTGACCTTGCAAGCTAGCACATTAACCTGCACCAGTACTCCTTTATGGCCCTCCCATTTTAGGTAGCCAGTGTCTAAGTTGCCTTTCCCTATCAATCCTATGTACAGAGGGGATAGGATTGATCCTTGATGTAAAGACTCCTTCCCTCTCAGTTGGTATTTAGAATTACTACATCCATAAGTATAGGTCAAGTTCATTAAATTGTAGCAATTTACACTCATTTCCTTTACCAAATTTCTTTATCTTCCTCTAGTCGAGTTCTGATCATGAAGCCATCAAAGCTAGGTCCAATGGTTCCTATCTGCAGGTTTGGGCATTCTTGTGCATCTCCCCTCACTTCATATCAGCCGGATGCTTCACTTTCAGCTCTAACCCTCAGTGGCTATGTCCTCGTCCATGGGCTCAGGAGAACCCAGGTCTCACCACACTTCAGACCAGCCCTCTTCCTTTTCTCTCTATCTCCAGGTCAACGGGAGTCTATGGAATATGGTGGAACTCAGTCCATATCTTCACTGCTGCCTTTCCCCCTCTTCCACTCACCAGTAGACCAACGTGGTCACCAGCAAGCTTACATGCCTGCTCATACGTTCCCTTTGAGAGCCCATTGTTTTGTCATTGTTTATCCAGTTCATTGTTGCTAATCCTCTACTTTACCACATAGGATGTCCTTTTCCAGGGACTGCTGTCCTCGAAAGTATAATATTCTGGATGTACTTCTTCCAATACATATTTGCTCGTTCTCCTGGATGTTCATGGAATAGTCAATATTCATTCTTCTTTGGTCTTCCTTATTCATTGTCCAGCTTTTGCATACATATGACATGATTGAAAATATCATCGCTTAGGTCAGGCATGCTTTGTTCTCATAGTCACATCTTCGTTTTTGAGTACTTGAAACAGGTTTTTTTGCAGCAGATTTGCTCAGTGCAATATCATTTGATTTCTTCTGTTTCCATGGAGGTTGATTGTGGATCCAAGTAAAATGAAATCCTTGGCAACTTCAATCTTTCTCCATTTTTCATGATGTTCCTCATTGGTCCATTTGTGATGATCTTTTCTTTCTGAATGTCGAGGTGTAATCCAGATTGAAGGCTACATACAGTCTTTGATCTTCATCAGTAAGTGTCTCAAGTCCTCTTCGTTTCCAGGAAGCAAGGTTGTATCATCTGCATATCGCATATCACTAATGAGCCTTGCTTCTATCCTGAAATCATGGTTTTCTTCATATAATCCAGTTTCTCAGATTAGTTTCTCGGCATACACAATGAATACATATGGTGAAAGGATACAGCCCTGGCACACACGTTTCCTGATTTTAAACCTCTCACCATTTCCTTCTTCTGTTCTAACGACAGCCTCTTGGTCTATGTACAGTTTCCACATGAGCACTGTGGAATTTCTAGTCTTCAAAATGCTATCCTTAGTTCGTTTTGATCCACAAAGTCAAATGCCTTTGTTTACTCTGATGGCCAATTTCCAAAATACACAAGTAAACATGTTTCTGGTCTTCTTGGCTTTCAGCCAAGATCTAGCTGATGTCAGCAATGATGCCCTCCATTCCACATCACCTTCTGAATCTGACTTGAATTTCTGGCAGTTTCCTGCTGATGTACTATTGCTACCATTCCTGAATTCTCTTCAGCAAAAATTCATTGGCATGTACTATGAATGATATTGCTTGATACGATCTGCACTCTGTTACATCACTTATCTTTGGAGTGGGCACAAATATGGATCTCTTTTAATCAGTTGGCGTTGGAGGAGAGAGTACTTCCAATGCTATATTGTTTTATTGAAACATTTAAATCGGTGTCTTGTCAATTTCTGTTGTTGTTAAGTGCCGTCGAGTTTGTTCTAATTCACAGAGACCCTGTATAGGGTTTCCAAGTCTGTAAGTCTTTATGGAAGCAGAAAATCTCATCTTTCTCCCATGGAGCAAGTGGTGGATTTGAACCGCTGATCTTGTGGTGAACACTCCAATGCATAAGTCAATACACTACCAGGGATATAATCCTGGAATCCTTCTGGATTTTTTTCTCCATGTCTCAGTTTACTTTTGGTTTACTAACTCTAGGTCTTTGCACATTTTGTTATAATACTTGACTTTGTCTTTTTGAGCCACCCTTTGAAATGAAATTGTTCTCCTCTATGAAATGTTCTGTTCGGCTCTTTTTCTTCATTATTTCTCCCAGTCACTTTAGTGTCTCTACTTTCAAGAGCAAGTTTCAGAGGATATGTTGTTGTTGTTAGGTGCTATGAAGTCAGTACTGACTCCTAGCGACTGTACGCACAACAGAACGAAACACCACCGGTCCTGCACCAACCTCACAGTTGTTCCTACACCTGAGCCCACTGCTGCCCCCACTGTGCTAATCCATCTCGCTGGAGGTCTTCTTATTTTTCTCTGACCCTCCACTTTACTAAACATGGTGTCCTTCTCCAGAGACTCCTGATAACATGTCCAAAGTATGAGAGACAAAGTCTGGCCATCGTGGCCTCCAAGGAACATTCTGGTTGTACTTCTTCCAGCACAGATTTGTTTGTTCTTTTGGCAGTTCATGGTACTTTCTTCTCCTCTAACACCATAACTCAAATGCATCAATTCTTCTACGGTCTTCCTTAGCTTGGGTCAGGTGCACTTTGGTCCTTAGATTGACATCTTTGGTCTTAAACACTAAAGAGATCTTGTGCTGCAGATTTACCGAATGCAATCCATTGTTTGATTTCTTGACTGCTCCTTCCATGAGTGTTGATCAGAGGATATAGAAACTATTAAAGGAAATATGATAAATCATTATATGCAGTACAGTAATAATAAAATTGTGATGTTGGATGGTCTTTGAAAGAAATAACATGCAAATTAATTAAACTTACTTAGAAAATATAGAAACTCAGAAGGGGAGGTTGGCAGAAGAATGATGAAGACAGGTGAAGACACAGGGAGGTCGGCAAGGGCTAAAGGAGCTAGAGGTAATAGTGATATATACACAAGACAGCAGTGTTCTGTGGGACGATACACAGACAGAGACACAGGCTGAGTGAGTATGGGAGGGAGTACACCCACAAATACCTAAGAGTTTGGATGACGATATTTGTACTTGGATACTTACCTTTCCTGCAAACACAGCTATGAATGTGGTGGCTCATACAGGGGACAAAACAATGAAAACTTCTTAGATAGTATCAAACATCTTAGGACAATGGCCTCAGAACCATAGTCTCAGGGGGTACCGTGGTCCATTGGCACAACGTAGTCCACAAAGGCAATGTTCTACATCCTGCATTGCTGAGTAGTGTCTGGGATCTTGAAAGCTCATGAGTGGCCGTCTAAGGTGCAACTATTGGTCTCTCCATGTGCGTAAGAAAGTGATGAAAATTAAAGATGCTTGGAATGAATTAATCCAATGGACTCCTGGAACGTATGAGCATCGGTCTCCACGACTCTGAGATCAGTAGAACTAGATGGTGTCCAGCTACCACTACCAACGGCCCTGAAAGGGATCATGTTAGAGTACCCTGGATAGAGTAGGAGAAAATGTGAAACAGAACACCAAAGATTTTTTTTTAAAGTATTAGCCTTATTGGTCAGAAAGAACGGAGGAACCTGAGACCACGGCTTTTGACCAATTTCAAGTCTGGAAAGGAACTCACCCTTGTAGCTCAATTTTCAGCCAATCACTAGATAGATATATGTGGGAGTGGGACAACAGCACTCGTAAGGTACACTCACAATGGAATGGCCAATTAATTAAAATCAAAAGGGCAACATTTATCTAAGGACAAAGTTGAGAAGGGAAGGGAGGGGTGGAATGGGACTAGGAAGCAGAGGGAGGAAGTAGGAGAACTGTTGTTCCATGGAGGGGATTACAATCACAGAGATGAATCAGAGGGTCAGATTGTTGAATGTAAAACTGATGATCTTGTCTGTGAACCTTCATTCAATTCACAATAGAAAGTTTTTAAAAAGAAAGAAAAAATTAAAACTCAAGAGAGGGTAGATCTCAACATGCCTGTCTTCTCTCTTTCACATTCCCAGAGGCCCTCAGTCAGCTTTTGGAAATGGATGGGTGAGTGTGAGTGTGTGAGTGTGTGAGTGAGTGAATGAGTGTGTGTGAGAGTGAATGAGTGTGTGTGAGTGAGTGTGTGTGTGTGTGTGAGAATGAGTGTGTGAGGGTATGAGTGAAAGTGTGAGCGTGTGACTGTGTGAGTGAATGAGTGTGTGTGAATGTGTGAGTGTGTGTTAGTGTGTGAGTGTGTAAGTGAGTCTGTGAGCGAATAAATGTGTGAGTGAATGAATGAGTGAGTGTGTGAGTGACTGTGAGTGTGTGAGTGTGTGTGAGTGTATGAGTGAGTGAGTGTGTGTGAGTGAGTGTATGAGTGAATGAGTGTGTGTGAGTGAGTGTGTGAGTGAGTGAGTGTGTGAGTGTGTGTGAGTGAGTGAGTGTGTGTGAGTGAATGGACAATGCTTTTTACTCTGCCTCTGGTCTCCAGTAACACATGTTCCCATTGCCTTTGCAGCATAAAGCGACCCACAATATCCACTGTTACTCTGGACATAGCTAATAAGGAAGTTTCTTGCATCGACTTCCATCCACTGGTATGTCCCAGACCTTTGCTGGCCCCTCATCTGTATTCTTAAAGAGTAACGGCGGCAGGCATCAGTTGCCCTTTCCTTGAAGGGCTGGTCTAGCCCTCATTCAGGATCTGGAAATGGAGGTGACCCTGTGCTGGATGTCAGTGTCACCAGGGCTGCCCCTTCCTGACTCACGGTCCTCGGACCAGGTGTGTTTCTTGTTGGTTGTCTGCAGAACTGCCCCTGGCTGATTCAGGTAACAGCACTCCCAGGCATACCCAAGAGAACTGAAAACCTCCATCCACACAAAACATGTGCCCAAGTGCTCATGGCAGCCTTATTCACAATAACCCCAACGTGGAAACCACCCAGATACCATCAGCACCTGAATGTATGAACCACATGTGGTGTATCCATGTCATGGAATATTATGCAGTTATACTTAGGAATAAGGTTCTGATGCATATCACAACAGATACGAACCTTGAACACATAAGAACTAAAAGCATCCAGAAACAAAGGAACAAACTTTGTGCCGTTCCATTGATAATGAAATGTTCAGAACAGACAAATCCATAGACAGAACGTGGATTAGTGTTAACCTACAGGCTAGGGAAGAGAAGGAATTGGGAATGACTATTCATGGGTATGGATTTTGTTGTTATTACTTAGTATTGTTGAATCCGTTCCACTCATAGGTTTCTGACCCTGTATAGGGTTTCTGAAGAGTGGCTGGTGGGTTTGAACCACCAACATTACAGTTAGCTGGCCAGTGCATATCCTACCATGCCACAGCAAAACTCCTTTAGGGTGACGGAACATGTTGGAACTAGACAGCGGTGATGATCTCAGGATATAATAAAAATACTAAAAACTACTGAACGATTTGTTTAAAGGAATCCCTGTGTACAAATGGTTAATGTGTTTGGCAGCTAACCAAAAACGTTTGCGGTTTGAGTCCACTCAGAGGCATGGCAGAAAAAAGACCTGGTGACCCATTTCCCCAAACCAGCCATTATAACGTCGTTCTATTCAGGCATTCATGGGTCAGAATCAACTCAACAACAACTAACAATGACAACTTGGGCTCTCAAGACACTGGGTGGTGGTGGAAGGACTTGGTAGCAGACCTGGCCTCTTCTGACGATGGCAGTGACCAGGTCGGACTCTTCTCCCAATTCAGATGGCAGGAAAAAGCAGCAGATGAGCTTGGGGCAGGCATGCCCTTCATCAGTAGTTCCAGTGGGCAGCCAAGAAGTTATCAGGTGCCCTGACAACAGGGGCTGACAAGTCACTGCTCAGAGAAGGCCCAGCTGGCAAGGAGTGGCTATGGGGTCAGGGCTGAAGGATGATGGGACTGACAGAAGGAAACCTTCATTGGGTTGGGTTAGTTTAGGTTGGGTTGTGTTTTTATGGGTTGACTTGGGTTGGATTGGATGGGTTTGATTGACTTGGGTTGGGTTGGGTTGGGTTTAATTGGGTTGACTTGGGTTGGAATGGATGGGTTTTGTTGACTTGGGTTGGGTTGACTTGGGTTTAATTGGGTTGACTTGGGTTGGGTTGGGTTGGGTTTAATTGGGTTGACTTGGGTTGGAATGGATGGGTTTTGTTGACTTGGTTGGGTTGACTTGGGTTGGGTTAGTTTAGATTGGGTTTATTTGGGTTGATGGGTTAGATTGGATGGGATTAGTTGATTTGCTTGGGTTGAGTTGACTCGGGTTGGGTTAGTTTAGGTTGGGTTGGGTTTATTTGGGTTGGCTTGGGTTGGAATGAATGGGTTTGGTTGACTTGGTTGGTTCAACTTGGGTTTGGTTGACATGGTTAGTTCAACTTGGGTTGGGTTGACTTGGGTTGGGTTGACTTGGTTGGGTTGGATTGACTTGGGTTAGGTTGGGTTGACTTGGGTTGTTTTGAGTTGACTTGGGTTGTTTTCCTCTATGAAGATTGTTCCATGCTTGACTGGTCACTGGGGAGTTTGGATGCTGGACTCTGTCCCTGAGATGGCTATTTGAACGTCAGTCACAGCTGCCTCGGAACCTCCTTACCCCTGAGAGGGTGTTCACATGAGAGCACAGCAGCATCCCATTTGAGAGGGGTCGGAGTCTCTGGGAGTGTAAAGAAAAAGGCACAGACCTCCCTCTCCCTGTGGTGAAATGTCCAAGGAGAAGGAGCTCTCAGGTTGAGGTGATGGGGGCCACCACACCCCAGGACCTATTGGTGCTCCCTCTTTAGAATGCCTTATCTTCCTTCTCAAGGGTAAGGGCAATCTGTCCTCAGAGACAGCCCATTCCCAAGGCTCCAGAAAGGCCTCACTGAGGGCAGAGGCCAAGAACAGCAGACTGGGAAGGACTGGGGGCCAGAAGGAAGGTTTCTTTTAAAACTTGATTTGAATCTTGTATTCTGCTCCATGGTAAATCCAGGTTTGTCTTAATATAAAACTATTTCTAGACACCCAAAGTTTCCTCATTCTATGGCTTTGAGCCCCTGGCACACCTTGGAGGGCACCACACAGCCCACTTTGAGAAACTTGTTTAAGGCCATTGGACTAATGCCTGCTTCACTACTTTCCTATTGTTTGTCCATTCCAGCTCATCCATTCATTGATGCATCAGTTCATTCTTTTCCCATGCCTCCTGCGTGCCAAGTATTGTATAAGATGGGTCTGTTCCCTGTAAAACAATGGGGATTTGGTTGTGCTCCAAAGCTTGGGCAAACTTTGAGTGTTTAATCTCCATAAAGTCAATCATGGTTACAGAGTGAGACCTAGCAATCTGTTCCCATTAAGATTATAGCCCAAGAATCCCTACAGACAGTTGTACGTTGTCACATGAGGGTGACATGAATAAAAAAATCAACTCACCAGCACCCAACAACAACAAGGCATTAGGGCCACTTTATCAGGGGACCCAGACAGCAGCGTTTCCAAAGCCTCCTGTTGTCAGTTTGCCTCACCTAGGTCTTCACTGGGGCTGGGCTCCCTGGGACCCTCATGGGTGAACATCTCTGTCTCTCTCCACTGTAGACAGCGCTCATTTCCATTGGATGTGACGTGAGCAAAAAGCTCGTCATTCAGAAGTAAGTGTATTGATACCGGATGAGGGTGTGTGTGGGGCATATGGATGGGATGGGATTGGGTAATGATATATTGATATCGGGGGGGGGGTAGAGTGGGGGTGTTTGTAGATGGCATGGGGTTGGGTATATTGACATATTGATATAGGAATGAAATACATAAAGAGCGATGTCTTAGGCATAAGTGAACTGAAATGGACTGATATTGGCTATTTTTAATCTGACAATCATAGCAATGGTTTACTATGCAGGGAACAACAAATTCAAGTGGAATGGCTTTGAATTTATCATCAAAAAGAATATTTCAAGATCATTCATGAAGTACAACACTGTCTGTGATAGGATAATATCGATACAAGGAAGATCAGTTAATACTATTACTCAAATTTACGCATCAACCAAATACCAATGATGATGAAAATGAAGAATTCTACCAACTTCTTCAGTCTGAAATTGATCAAACATGCAAACAAGATGTATTGACAATTCGACCTGGAGATGAGATGAGAGAAGAGGAAGGGTTGGTTGGTCCAAAGTGTGGTGAGACCTGGGGACTCCTGAGCCCATGGACAAGGACATAGCCACAGAGGGCTAGAGCTGAGAGTGAAGCATCCAGCTGGTATGAACTGAAGAGAGACGCACAAGAACACCCAAACTTGTAGATAGAATTCATTCAACCTAGCTGTGATGGCTTGGTGATCAGATCTGACTAGAGGAAGATAAAAAAATATTTTTGATAAAGGAAACAAGTGTAAATTGCTACAATTTGAAGAGCTTAACCTATACTTTTGGATGTAGTCATTCAAAATACCAACTGAGAGGGAAGGAGTTTTCACATCAAGTATCAATCCTATCCTTTCTGTATACAGGGTTGATAGGGATGGGCAACTTAGACATTGGCTACCTAAAATGGGGGCTATTAAGGCACAAAGTGACTGGCTTACAAATTTTCAAGGGGAAGTTTAGTTTCAGAGTGTGTGGAGAAGGTAGATGAATAAATCTTATCTTGTCTAGATGGGTCTGGTGAAAGGAGATGGGGATAAGATTCTTATGATTCAAGAGTGAATAATTGTTATGACTAATTGAGACTGTCACAACTGTAAAAGTAGAAGTTTTGTAACAAAAAGGGAGAGTAGTTAACCTTACAGTCTAGGAACAGAGGACCCTAGGACCATCAAGGGAAAAGAGTATGAGCGGAATGTGAGGCCCTATCCAGAGAAGCAGTAACACCAGAGATGGAGGCAGAGATGAGGACATGGAGACAGGGAGTAGCTGAGGACTCTAGAGTCATGGAAAGAGAAAGGCTGTGTGCTGGCGGTCAGGAGGCAGGCTTGCAGAATGTGCCCTTTGGTTGTTTAAATGATTATATATTCCTAAGTGTTTTTGTGTACATTCCCCTCATCCCCCCCCACACACAAAATAGAGAAAATAGAAGCGAATACTGTTGAATGATGATGCACTTGGGAGATTATAATCATTGCATGAAACGATGAGTGTAAAATTGGTGTTCTCCCATGTAAACTATCACTCACTCAATTCACAATACAAACATATATATATATGATGTGAACTGTAGCAGTTACTCTCTACCAGCTTCTCTGTGGGAATAAGATGAGGGTTTCTGCTTCCACAAAAATTTACAGCCTCAGAAACCCTATACAGGTTCACTGTAACTAATTCAATGGAATGTAACAATATAAATATATATATATAGTTGCTAAGTGTTAAGAAATATATATACTATTTCTCCCGTAGCAACAACTGTGATCTTTTGATCACATTCTGAGTTTTTTTTCTTATTTCTAAAATCTATGTTAGAAACACAGGTTCTCCTCCTTCAATTAGCACCTGTCCAACGTTTCTATAGCTTTAGGTGAATTTTCAAGACTTTTTTTAGTGGCTTTCAACAGGAAAGACCTGGCTAAGCTTTAGCTATAGGGAATGAAATATCCTGAGATATTGCTATCTTGAAAAAAGTCCCTTCCAACAACTCAGAGGCTAGACTCAAGGCAGAAGGGCTCTCTCACACCGCTCTTCAAAACCTGAAGAAACACTTCAGGACAATAACATAAGCATCATTAGGTGTTGACGGCTGTTTGGCAGTTTATCCTCAAGGTTGTGATCTTCACTGAACTTACTCATTATTATGGGTCCTGGAGAAAGCATGCTGAGAGGTGAAGGTTAGACCTACCTTAGGTAACTGAAGGTTAGAGATGTGTATTGTATCACCTGTTTTTGCTGAAAATTTAAAGGGTGATGTTATCTTCTCCTAGCTAGTGTTCAATAATGCTGAATTTTTTCTCTGGTAATTGTCTAGTCAAGTAAAGACAAAGGGAAAGCACAGTTGGAGATCTTGGAGATCCCATGAAACAGTCAAGGAAGAAAGAATGGTTAGGGACATCTTGTCAATTCTCTGGTCCTGTAGCTCCTGTTTGTAGCTAGAGCTAAGCAGCTTTCCAATTTTTGTTTAGAAAGGGCTTTGTAGCAGTAGTCTAGAAGGAAGTGAGTGGAGAGGAGAGCTTGTGTTGAAGCTGCACTAACAGGCCTAATGATTTTAATTAATTCTTAAATTTATTTTCAGTGACTTAAAGATGTACTAGTCAAGCAAGCGGGCTGTTTTTCACTAAGATTATGGGTTTATTTGGGGGGGATGAGGCAACTACTAAAGATCATAGGAAGGATAAAACTCCTATTTCAGTCACACTAGCATATACACTGGACTGTCAGGCTTGTACAAACATACAAGCAGAAATATAGCAAAGCAGTGCTGGCATTGAGAGCTACTATTTCTGAGGCAGCTTTCAGGTCATTGCACCTGCAAGGTGCAGGTAATTTCTTCTTTGGATGGAAATTTTATCCCCATAATGGTGGTGGTGGTTATGTGCTGTTGAGTCAGTTCCGACTCATAGTGACCCTGTACAGGATTTCCAAGGCTGTAAATCTTTACGGGAGCAGAAATCCTCATCTTTTTTCCCACGGGACAACTGGTAGTTTCGAACTGCTGTTCCTGAAGTTAGCAGCCCAATTCGTAACCACTACACTAATAGAGTGGCCATAATACCCCTGAGTGGTACATCTAAAGTAATCTGCTAGAATCCTCAATATAAAAAGGAAAAAAGCAGAGGGAAGGGAGGGGTACATCACATTTTGAAAATGCTTAAACTAGATGAAATGTATCTGTTATTACAACTCCTGCAGTGCCCAAATA